GGGAGTGAACGAAGAAAGAACTTTAAGAGACAAACTGCATTTCCCAGTTTCTTTTCATAATGATGTTAATAATAACAATAATAACTTCATTTACATCGCGCATATTTACACTCTGCAACATGCTCAATGCGTTTTACAACCATTTTTACCCCAGCCGACCCTGGAACACTCGGAAACATTCTCAGATTCCCCGGAAGCATACAGTGCAAGCTGTGGAGTGCACGCACTCAAACACAAACAAATTGACAAGGTCTTTCGCCTTATGAAGACGGGTACCCATTCCCACCTGGGTGAAGTGAGGAAAACTTGTGTTGAGTGCTTTCCCAAGGACACAACGTTAGGTCCCTGATGGGATTCAAACCCTTGATGAAGGCTCTCGTGGCCTAGAGGTCAAGGTGTTCGCCTTTCAGTTAAAGGTCCCGGGTTCGAATCCGAGTAGCGACCGAAAAATGTTCCTCTCTAAAATTGTCTCCTTTCACCTCCTTTCCAGCTCTCTAGCAATGTTCTGTCGTCTGCTTTCGTCTCATCTTTCTGTCCCCGCCCCCTCCTCTGAGCTCCTGACTCTCTCTGCAGCCTTTCTACTGCTACTCCTTGGCTCCTTCTTACTGCTGTCTTTCAGCCACACCCCTGATCTTGTGGTAGAACAGCACAGATCTACACCTAGCCTTCTCGGACAAGGGCGAATAATCTCGGAGGGCCCGTGTGCAAGTTGCACACGTTAAAGATCCCTTAGTGGTCTAAAATCAATAATAAGAGTAGGCTTCGGCAGCCGCCTGAGCAAAATTCTAAATTTCCTACAATATAATATATAATCTGAGCCAGTCCCTGTAAGCCATGTATCCCTCTGTCTGCACCCCCCCAGGTCTCAGCACAGAGCCGGGTACCCGGTCCTCTCCGGCCTTTCCCGCTGCAGCATGCCGCAGCCGCAGCACTACAACAGCACGCAGCACCATCTGCAGGACCCTTGCTGTCAGCACACAGGTCAGTGGCACAACTTTTGGTTTATCTCAATTTTTTTTTGATTTCATTCAAATGTCGGCTGAAGTCATTTCTGTTTTTAAATTAATAAGATAATAAATCAAATATATTACACTTTTATTGATCCCAGAAAGGCAATTTGGTTTACAATGGCAAACAAACATACTTAAATACATATTTATGAATACGTACATACATAAATACATGCATAAATACAAATATTACACCGGTACAGAACAATTTACAATCATGCGGTTGTCGGAATATTTGAAGTGATTTTCTTTTAGTCAGAACACAACGTTTTATGTTACTGTTGTACATTGTATTTATTGTATCGTAAAACGCTCAGAGCCTGTGTACTTTAATCGGGATTGAGCGCTATACGAATCTCATTTATTATTATTATTATCTCGTTGACCCCGGAATTGATTTCCACGGTTTGACGCAATTTGTTGTGTTTTATTTTATTTGTATTTTTTAACCTTAAGTCACCAGACATTCTGTCACATTATCAACATGTGCTTCGACTCAAGACAAAGAACAGACACATATGGTCGCTTTTAAGGACAAGCCGGCTAACCCAGATTTCGGGGGTTTCGAGAAATCTTGACTTTCCTAAAAAATGGGCATTGCCCTACCTATAGGAGAAGTTTGGTTTCATTGGTGTGTATAATTGTTTGGTTATAGAGAAAACTCTCCAATGAAACTGAACAAGGGCAAAAACTTTACCTTCGATTTTATTAAAACAGCTTTTTTCAGGATATTCCCCTTGTCCTTAAAAGCGACCTTGTAAACACACAAAGATGATGGAAGGTTGCTTCCCTTAGACAGACGTTTACACCCCCCCCCCCCCCCCCCCCCCCCCCCCGCCCCCGGGGCAGTGCTACTGACTGAGGTGTCTTTAGGCCATTCCCAAAGTGTGGATATTAACATGTTCTTACGCACAGTAGAATTATAAATGGGCTGATTTATCAATGTCATGCTCATACTGTGCCGGAACAACATAGGGGGAACTGCTGCTTGTTTCTTTCTTCATCCTTACTATCGTCTTTTTCCTCTACTTCTTTTGTATGTTTGTCACACTCTTGTGACCCGCTACTTCCGGGGTGCCTTGATAGTCGAAGCAGACTTTGAGCAATTGAGGCTAGAGAGGTGAGCAGAGTAAGTCTGATTCCCCGTTTGGACTTCTCTGTTGACATCCACCCCGTGGCGCTCATTTGACCTCATGCAGTTGCGAGTGCCATAAAAACTCTACGTGGGTTGTTGGCGGGTGCTCTGGTGTGGTTTGCTCCTTCTTTCCTATAAAAAATCTATCGTCTCTATCTCCCCTCCTTCTTTTTTATGTTTGTTACTCTCTTGTAACACCTCTAATCTTCGACACTTGTACGACCATATTGTGTTGCAAGTGCCGTAAAACACTTACTAAAACTATATAATAAACTTGGTAAAACTACAAGAAAACTGTTTTTGGGTCTGTTTTGTTCAGAGCGTGTGGAGAACATGGCGAGCATGATGGCCGAGTACAACCAGTACTCCTACCTGGCATCCATCAACAACAACAACAACGGCAACTACCTGTCCATCGGGGACGGCCACCCGCCCTTGTCTCAGACGGGGCTGTCAGGTGAGGCTACGTTACTTGTATCACTGTCACACCTGCTGAGACTACACTATTCGACTCACTGTTTCGTGTGTGCGGACTGAGTGAGCGACTTCTCCGACTTTATCCCCAGAGACATATTTACGTCAAGTGTACAGTCTATTGTACGTAATGATGAATATGGCATCAGTTGAAAAAAATCTGTATGTCAATTTTCGGCCCATGTACCCATTTGTGGATGGTGAGTGGTAAATCATTCTGTCAGCACGCCTCATACTTGTCCCTCTATGTGGGCAGATCTGGGTGTGGACAAGTGAGGAGAGGTAAGGACCACCCAGGCCAGTGCTTCTACACGTCCTTCTCTCTCTTCCCTCTTTTCTTTGTATGTTACTCTCTAGCTACACCTCTAATCTTTGACACTTTATATGATCTAAAGCCCCGGTTACACGCAACGATAAATTGTGTCGGATTAGTCGCATGTGAGAACTGTCCTATACACGGAGCAGGGGTCCCCAGGCTGCTCGACAAGGACGGGGAGTTGACTTGGTTGAGGCTGGCTTGCCAGAGAGCGTCTTGGGTTTCACCCTCAACCCTTACAGCCCCGGTTACACGCAACGATAAATTGTGTCAGATTAGTCGTATGTGAGAACTCCCTGTTTTGTCGAGCTGTATAATTTGTTTAGACGTTCCAATCGATCATCCAGTTTTCTTTCGATCGGGGAAAATCCTAGTCATTAACTTGACTGCGGATGTGCAACTCAGCAGGTGACCTTGATACCCAACTTCTCCATTAATGATCAACTAAATAAAATTGCTAAAATTGACAGTATAATGCATCAAATCAAGTTCCCCTCAAGCAGTTTTTCTTATTTTAAGACGCTGATTTCGAATATGAAATCAGTTTTTACCTACAATTATTATTTTTCAAATTTTGAGCCCTAGGTTTAATCCTGCCTGCCGCAAATTTCAAAGTGATTCTTCGTCACAGCGCGTCTCCCACACGGAAAATATCAAGCAGCGCTTGATTTCTCGACCGAGTCTCCAAGCCATCGTCCAAACTTTGTACAATTTTGTGGTTACACCTGACGATTTGTCTCAGGATCGGTTTCTTACAGTTTTTGTACAATTTGTCATTGTGTGTAACCGGGCCTTAATTTAATGTGCAAGTTCCAAAGAACTTACAAAAGCAAGATATAACAAGGTTTTTAAAAAAATGTATTTGATTATTTTATTGTGTGTCAATCACTTGGAGCTTTCATTTATGTTCGATGGAGCACTGTACAAATGCAATCTGTTGTTGTTATTATTAATATTATTATAATTATTGTATGTTTTTTTCCTGCGTGGTTTGCCAGAGGGACTACGCAGCCCGATGCTGTCAGGCCACAACATGGAGCCCATGGACTGCAGCAACCTCAACAGCAACAGCCACAGCAACAGCCACAGCAACAACCCCATGGTGGCGGCTGCAGCTGCTGCGCGACAGCGTCAGAAAATGTCCCGCCAGGTCTCGGAGGAGTGCAACATCCACCCAAACTGCAGCGGGGACAAGAGGCTCCGGGCGGACAACGGCTACGCGTGCACCTCTCTGTCGCGGCCCGGTCAGCATCTCTACCCCCACCCGGGCACCCACCCCTCACAGAAGTCGTCCTGGTCACCCACGGGGACCTCCGCCCTCCCCCCACACAACTCTGCTGGAAACATGCGCAGTTGGCCCTCCAGCAACACTCCCCCCTCCAAGGAAGGGGTCGCGGCTCAGCAGCAGCATCGTCGTCACCACCACCACAACAACTACCACAGCCAGCCTGCTCAGGGGAAGCTCACCAACGCGGTGGTTTCGGGTTCGCACCCGTCGACGGGCGGGGTGGGCAACAGTTTGCAGTACCTGGAGCAGCTGTCGGCCGTGCCGGACCGACTGAAACCCACGCAGGAGTACAAGACCTTCATAGCCGAGCAGAAGGTGGGGCCAGTGTCCGGTCTTGTCTTGTCTTGTCTGTCTCGAGAGTGTCTGGTCTTGTTCTGTCTTGTCTTGTGTGTGTGAGAGTGTCTTGTCTTGTTTTATTTTATCTTGTCATGTGCGTCTCAGTGTTTTGCCCGCCCCCGGCGGTGCCACTGACTGAAGTGTCTGTAGGCCATTCCCAAAGGAGGGGACATTAACATGTTCTTATGCACAGTAGAATTGTAAATGAGTTGATTCATCAATGTCATGCTCATAACTGTGACTGAACTGCAACAGGGGACTGCTGCTTTTTCTTTCCTAATCCTTACTATTGTCATTTTTCCTCTACTTCTTTTGTATGTTTGTCATACTCTTGTGACCTGCTATTTCCGGGGTGCCTTGAAAGTCGAAACAGACTTTATGCTGTTGAAGCTAGAGAGGTGAGCAGAGTAAGCCTGATTCCCTGTAAAGACTTCTCTGTTGACATCCACCCCTTAATAATAATAACACCCACCCCTTGGCGCTCGTGTGAACTTACACAGTTGCGAGTGCCGTAAAACCTCTACTAAATAAATAAAAATAATACTTCTTTTGTATGTTTGTCACACTCTTGTGACCCGCTATCTCCGGGGTGCCTTTATAGTCGAAGCAGACCTTATGCTGTTGAGGCTAGAGAGGTGAGCTGAGTAAGTCTGATTCCCTGTAAGGACTTCTCTTTTGACATCGACCCCTTGGCGTTCGTATGACCTTATGCAGTTGCGAGCGCCGTAAAAACTCTACTAAAACAAAAAAAAACAGGCATGGCTGGAAGCCCGCTTCCTAAGTTATAAGAATTATATCGATGACATAAAACCCCCCCACCTATTTATAAAGAGAAAAGATTTATGTTAGCTTGGAGTAAATGTTTGTTTCTGTGTCTGGCTGTGCAGATTGAGTCGGAGAAGGGTGGCCGGCAGGTGGCCAGTGATGGCGACTCGTACGTGTCCCGGACGTCCTCGGGCAGTGGCGGCTCGTACAGCGGCCATCGGGCCGAGGCGGCCACCTACCCTCGTGGCACCAAGCCCCGCCCACCGGCCGGGGGCATCGAACTCACGGCCTCCGCCATGGGCAAGCTGGAGATTAGCAAAAAGTCGACGTCGGTTCCCAAAGACTTGAAGGCCAACGCCTTCCGTAGAGGTACCTTCTTCTTTTTTTCTTCTTTTCTTTATTTTTTCTTTTCTTTCTTTTCTTTCTTTTTAAAACTTTTCTTTCTTTTCTTTCTTTTTAAAACTTTTCTTTCTTTTTAAAACTTTTCTTTTCTTTCTTTTTAAAACTTTTCTTTCTTTTCTTTCTTTTTAAAACTTTTCTTTCTTTTTAAAACTTTTCTTTTCTTTCTTTTAAAAACTTTTCTTTTCTTTCTTTTAAAA